TCTCTGTCCGCACTCCGCAGCCTCAAAAAGAAAAAAAGAAAATACTGCACCGTAGCACCCATCGGCGCAGGCGCAGGGCCGCAGGCGTAGCTTCTCTCGTCGACTCCGACCACTCACCGTCATCATCTCTAACTTGACGCCTCGCCGCCAACTGGAATTTTCTTCAATCGCCGTCGACTTGAATTTCCTTCACTCGCTGCCAAGTAGCCACTCATCATCGTCTTTATGGCCAAGGCCGAACCATCTCCTCAGGATCCATCTCCTGCTTTGGAGACATCCGCACCCGTAGTGGATGTATAAACTGGAAACCCTAATTTTAAATCTATGCTTTCAGTTTCAGGGGGAAAGATCTAAACTTTTTAGTTCTTGATGCATTCTACTAAATTGTAGATTAGTGAGAAATAGTTGGTTTAATTAGATTTTATGATTGAGATTGATTTAGTTCTTGGCTTCTTGCTGTATGTTAGTAAATTGTACTGAAAAAATAAAAATCCTAATTTTAATTTTATGCATATTAGTGTGCTAAAAAGTTAAAAAACCCTAATTTAGTTGAATTGTTGAAATAATCTGCAGGCTTCTCAAAAGGAGAATCCTAATGTAAATGCAAGTCAAGTTGATTCTATTCAATCTACGCAAGGCTCTTAGACTTTGACTAAAAGGAAAGCAATAAAAGGAAGATCGGAGGTATGAGATCATTTTACTAAGTTTAAAGATAAAAATGATGACCCAAAAGCAAAATGCAACTATTGTGAAAAAGTATATTTTGCACATTGCAAAAAAAAAAAAAAAAATGGTACTACATCACTACTTAATCACATGGAGTCTTGCAAAAAACACCCACATAATGTCGACACTCGACAGAAGCTATTAAATTTACAAGCAAATCTTGATTCACAAAGCGGAGGTAGTACGAAAATGGGAACCCTTGTTAGTTGGAGTTATGATAAAGGAGCCATAAGAAAAGCTCTCAGTTATTTTATCATTTTAGACGAGCTTCCATTCAAGTTAGTAGAGGGTTTAGGGTTTAAAAATTTCATGTCCACCGCTTGCCCTAGATTTCATATTCCATGTCGTTGGACAATCCAAAGAGATTGCTATGAGGTTTACCTTAAAGGGAAATTTTTTTGAAGAATTTATTGAAAGCTACATGTCAAAGGGTGTGTCTAACAACCGATACTTGGACTTCCATTCAAAATATTAATTATATGTGTTTAACGGCACACTAGATTGACAATGATTGGAAATTGAACAAAGGAATAATAAACTTTTGTCCTATTTCAAGTCATAAAGGAGATGATCTTGGGAAGGCGGTCGAGAAGTGTTTACTAGATTGGGAAATTGAGAATGTTTTTATCATCACAGTTGATAATGCTAGTTCAAATGATACAATGATTACATACTTAAAAAAGAGGTTCAACAATTAGGGAGGCACAATGTTGGGTGGGAAATATTTTCATATGAGATGTATTGCTCATATTGTTAATCTTGTTGTTAGTGATGGGCTCAAAGATTTGGGGGTTTCTGTTGCCCGTGTTCATTCGACGGTGAGATATGTGTGACAATCTCCGTCTAAATTAGCTAAATTCAAAACTTGCATTGAACTAGAAAAAATTGAATTTGGTTCATCTTTATGTTTGGGTGTATGCACTAGATGGAATTCCACTTTTTTGATGTTGAACATTGCTCAAAAATATGAAAAAGCTTTAGAGAGATAAGGTGAAAAAGATCCCTTCTTTAGATTTGAACTAAGTAATGGAAATGGACCTCATGAAATGCCATTGGAGGATGATTGAGTTAATGTGAGAAGGTTATGCACTCTGCTTGAAAATTATCATAAGCTAACATTACGTGTTTCAGGTTCTTCATATGTGACAAGTAATTTTTTTTTCTTCAAGAAATTGGTAATGTTGCTTATGATTTGCAAAAATGGCGATTGTCTGATGATGCATCATATGCTAGAATTGCTAATAGAATGACAAATAAATATGAGAAGTATTTGGGAAGTTGGGAGAAGACGAACATGTTGGTTTACATTTGCGGCACTTCTTGATCCACCAAATAGAGAAGATTTTGTAACTTTTATTCTTGAGCTTACATACGATAAGAAAGAAAGCGTTGATAAATTAAAATTCATCAAAGATGCCGCATTTGTATTATTCAAAGAGTATAAAATTAAATATGGAACTAAAATAGATGCAAGTGGGCAATCAATTGGTGCTTCATCTAATAATATTGACAAAAATGATGTTAATCAAATAACCAATGTAAGAAGTCGGTTTAAAAGGTTGAAAGCCGCAAAAGGAAGTGCCGAAGTAAAATCAGAGTTGGAAAGATTTCTAAGCGAGGATGTTGAATCCGATCAAAGTAACTTTGATATTTTAACTTATTGGAAAGTTAATAGTGCAAGGTTCCCAATTCTCTCTCCGATGGTTAGTGATGTATTGACTGTTCTAATCTCTACAGTTGCTTTTGAGTCTGCATTTAGTACATGTGGCCGAGTACTTGATCCATTTAGGAGCCCAATGACTCCGAGAATGGTACAAAGCCTAGTATGCACTTCCGATTGGCTTCGAAACTCGTTGGCTTCACCGGGTTCAAGCAAAATTTGATTTGAAGAAGATTTAGATGCTCTTGAGAAGTTACATAGGTATTTACCATTTATGTTTTTATATGTTAAATGATTTGCTTTTTTATTAATTTGTTATTTGTTTATCTTTCAGATTTGAGTAAGCTTTCAATTGAACCAACAATCACAGATTTGTAAGAGCTTTCATGGAAGAACACATGTAATAATTGTTTATATTTTTAATTGTGGTGATACATAAATTGCCTTCAATTTTACATACTAAAAGCTAAATTTGGTTTCATGAACTTTACAGAACTACACATACATGAATGTGTGATTGAGGATCTTGGTGGTAAATGGTTAAGTTGCTTTCTTGAAAGCTCCGCCTTCACATCCAGGGAAGTGCTTAAATTTGCAAATCAGAATTCTCAAGTAACTCCTTAGAGAGGCTTGTGGCAAGGTGTATTCTTGTTCTGTTTTTGCTTGAAGTAATTCCTTCTTTATCGCTTTATCTTGATTAGATTAGTGCTTTTTTTTTTCAAAATCCTTGCATGTTAGTACATATATAAGTTGTGAATAAAGCAAAAGAAAAGGTTGTATAATAGACATGAATAAATTTGTCTACAACATTTGAATGCATCTTGATTAGAACCAAACAAACAGAACCGAACCGCACTGCCCCGACTTGCAACAATTCGGTTCGGTTTTGCATAATGGGCAGTTCGGTTCGGTTGTTCAAATTTTGATAAAAACCGAACGTGACCCAACCCGTTTGCATACCCTTACTCTCACTCCTCAGCCGCCCACTCCCCCTCGCCCTCCTCTCTCTTCTCTCCTCTCTCTCTCTCTTCGATCGATCACCCGCCTGCCTGCGGCAGCGAATTTCCAATCGCCGTTTCGCCTCATGCGCAGTATCCCGCCGCCGCCGGTCCTCCTCAAAGGTAAATTTTAAATTTTAAACTACTTAATTAATTAATTTACTGTTTTAGCACTTATAAACTGTTTTTAATCTTTAAATAGTTAATTTGTTCAATTTAGTTTAAATTAATTTTAATTTAATCTTGTTCATTTTTAGTTAAATTTAGTTAATTTAGTTTAATTTAGTGAATTTTAGTTAATTTAGCTAATTTTAGTTTAATCTTGTTCAAATTCAGTTAATTTTAGTGAATTTTATTTAATTTAGTTAATTTTAGTTAATTTAGTAAATTTTAGTTTAATCTTATTCAATTTTAATGAATTTTAGTGAATATACTAATATACCTATATTATTGTTTGCATTCTACATTCTCTGCAATGATTTTAATGAATTTTAGTGAATATACTAATATACCTATATTATTGTTTGCATTCTACATTCTCTGCAATGAATATAGTGAAGAATCGAATGCGCAATAATATACCTATATTATTGTTTGCATTCTACATTCTCTGCAATGAATATAGTGAAGAATCGAATGCGCAATCGCATGGGTGATGACTGGTTGAACGATTGTTTAGTCACTTATATTGAGAGAGAGATATTTGATAACATTGACAATGAGAAAATCATACAATATTATCAAAACATGAGAACTCGAAGGAACCATTGTAAACTTTTTAACAAAATACTTCTATTGACTATTTTTGTTTTGTGTACATATATGTCTGCTTTGTTTTCATATTGTTAACACTTAGCTAAAGTATCATATACTAGTAGTGATATTGCCCCCACACTGACAAAATTTTCTGGATCCACCCTTGTATATCCGTACCTACGCCAATGCTATAGATGGGTCTATTCACGGTTAAAATCTTAAAATTTAAGGAGGGGTTTAAGCGGAAGGATTAATTAAATTAGTTCACCATGGAGCAAAGTAGGGTTAAATTAGTCAATGTTTGACAAAGGAATGAACTTCAACTTCAATCCTGAGCAGCTCCGCAATATGGAGAAACGAAAGAGACCATCACTCACGCATGAAGATTGTCTGAAGATTTGGAGAAACGAAGAGACAATAAAGAGGCCATCACTTCCTTTAACAGACCCTAATAAACACTAGACAGCTAAAGGTACATGTATCCAGATCCAGTATGAACAAATTTTTGATTTAAACCCATTTCAACTTTTTATTTTACAAACCGACCAATTTTTTTTATTTAGCGGAATCGACCCACTTCTCGGCCACGTCAGCAGCGTGGCCGAGAAGCGGGTCGATTTTTTTTTAATCTCATCACTAAATAGTCGGGGTTGCCAAGAAAAAATAGTCGGGGTTGGCAACCCCGACTATTTAGTGATGAGATTAAAAAAAAATCGACCCGCTTCTCGGCCACGCTGCTGACGTGGCCGAGAAGTGGGTCGATTCCGCTAAATAAAAAGAGGGTCGGTCGATTCCGGTAAAAAAAAAAGGGAATGGGTTTAAATCAAAAATTTGTTCGATCCAGTATATATACGCATGCCAGGTACCTGATCCCTCATCCACAATGAGCTTGAACTACTTGAGCTTAAGCAACCTCTTCATGAGGTACCCTGAGATCATCTTATCCCTTGCTTCTTTCCTCTTGATTTACATCCTCCGATGCTCGTACCGGAGCTCCGGCTATGCGATCCCGACAAACTGGCCGCTCATCGGCATGCTCCCAAGCCTTGCTGTTAACACCGAAAACTTCAACAGCTGGGTGGCCGCGGTCCTGAGGGAAGCTGGCGGCAACTTCCTCTTCAAAGGCCCGTGGTTCACCGGCATGGACGCCTTCACCACATGCGACCCCGCCAACGTCAACCACATCTTCAGCTCCAACTTCCGGAACTACCCCAAAGGTCAAGAATTCTCCGAGGTGCTCGACACTCTAGGCGACGGCATCAGTGCCTCTGACGGAGACTCATGGGCATTTCAGCGGAGAATCGGGATCTCTCTGATGAGCTCGACCAAGTTCCGGTCATCTATGAGGGCGGCTAGCTTTAAAAAAGTGACTGAGGGACTCCTTCCGCTGCTTGACTGGATAGCTGATGGAAATCGCGTGGTTAACTTGTGCGACGTGCTGATGAGGTTCTCGTTCGATCTATCGTTGGTTATGGTTCTTGGTGTTGATCCGGGATACCTTGCTCCTGATCTTCGGGTTATTCCGTTTGCGACAGCTATGGTAGAGATGGAGAATGTCAGTTTTCGTCGATTCACGACGCCCAGATTCTGGTGGAAGCTGAAGAGGAGGTTTGGCCTCGGGGAGGAGAGGATTCTCCCTCCAGCTCAAAAGATCGTCGATGACTTCTTGGCTCAACGCATTGAAAAGAAGAGAGAGGAGAGCAAAACTAGCAGTGGAGGCGAAGATGTCGATCTGCTGAGTTTATTGGTGGGGATCTGTGGACAAGATAACGCGATATCCGACGAGTTCCTCCGCGACATCCTGCTCAGCTTTATACTTGCAAGCAAAGACAATGCGGGTATCGTGCTCGGCTGGTTCTTCTGGTTGGTTTCGTTGAACCCCCGAGTTGAGAAGAAGATCCTAGATGAACTTCGATGGTCTAAACCATCCTCAAACAACTCGAAGGTTTTGATCTACGAGTCGTTGAGACTGTACCCGCCAGTGCCGTACAACATCAAGCTCGCTTTAGAGGACGACGTGTTGCCAAGCGGACACAAGGTCAACGCCGGTCAACATGTGTTTATATCGACGTATGCGATTGCAAGGATGGAGGGGGTTTGGGGAAAAGATTGCTTGGAGTTTAGACCGGAGCGATGGATCGATGGGAGGACGGGGAGGTTGAGGTTTGAGCCGTCGTGCAAGTTCTTGAGTTTTCACTGTGGGCCGAGGTCTTGCGTCGGGAAGAACATGGCGTTGGTCTCGATAAAGATGGCAGCGGCCGCCTTGATGTACAACTTCGAGGTGGAGGTGGAGGAGGGGCATGTGGTCGAGCCGAGCCTCTCCATCCTCCTGCTGATGAAGAATGGGCTGAGGGTTAGGCTTAAGAAGAGGTCATGGATCACTGCATAGTTTCTCCGTTGCTGTTCGTGTGTGCGTGCGAAATAATGATGGGTTTAGTGTTTCTGAACCTTGGGATGCTGCCCGTACATCAAATTACAGAAGCTGCTGTATGTTACATGCTAATGTTTTATCATGTGTCAATGTTTGTTCTAAAATAATTGTACGTGTTGATTTTTCTTTTTGAATTGGGTAAATTAAGAGGAATCTCCTTCATTTGCACCTTGTTTGCTAAGAGCTCTCCCAATCTAGATATTTCAACAAGATACCCACTTAACTACGACCATGAATTTATAGCAGGGTTACATTATTCATATCATCCTAAAAAATTCATATCCACCTTCTAATTTACTAGGAATCGAAACATCACTCGGACGACAGAACATCCTGAAGTAAGGAGAAAAACTCACAGATCAACATGTAAACTAATCATCAACATGTAACTACTGTCTGTACATCAAATTCCTGAGAAATGGTCAGCAACAGTTCTCAGGAATTCTTCACATATTATCCAAAGTTACGCAATCTTTCATTCATCTTTTTCATAGAAATAAAAACTGCTATTTTTTACACGTATAAATGTTTATCACACAAATAAATATCATGTGCTTGCGGTCGCTCTTAGTAAAGCTAAATATAACAACTCTGGCCAACGATAGGAGCACCATTTTGTACAGATCCTCCTTATTACTACCCTTTATTTTGCGATATTTTTTTTATCAATCACAGAGCAATAGGGTACTAACCGCGCTATCAACATGTATAAATTTTTTTTATTGTCGTTCAATAGAATTGAGAATATCATAAAACACAGAAGGCCTCTTCCTAGATCCCAAACAGAGTTCCTGAAAAACAAACACAAGATAAGAGTTATTTTAGGATGATTAACCGTATCTCGTCACTCGCTTATTAAGCTATGACCACAGTCATGATCCTTTGGAGCTTTATCGCTGAATTTATTAAGAATGATTGGCTTAGGCAACCCCTTTCCTCTAATTTCCTTTACGAGTTCTTATATCTCTCAATGTTGGGAAAACACCTCATTTACCTAACACTAGCCTGCGTTGTAATTACCCTTCCCTGAGCTCTAAAGCTTTTCACACTCATCTCTCTCTTTTAGTCCTTCCTTCTCCTAGACTGTTGGGAATTTAACGCTGAAACCCCTAATGCAACAGAAACGCAGTATAGAAAAAATACACCAAGATTTAACGAGGTTCGGCAACTGCCTACGTCCTCGGGAGCCACACAGATAATTTCTTATTAATCAAACAAGAAATTATAATTTAGGAGCAGATCTCAAAATTGAGATTTCTCAAATAAACACTGTAGCTACAGTGTTAATAATTAAAGGGTATGAACCCTTTCAATTCTCACTTGAGAATAAATGAATAACCCACAATAAAAAAACCCTTCTTTAATTTTCTCTCTCTCTCTTCTTAAATCCCCTATCTCTCTCTCTCTCTCTTCTTAAATCCCTCTTTTAATCTCCCCTCAAAATCCCGAAGTTCTGAGCGCTGGAGAAAAATGGAACGAAGACCGAAAGGGGAAAATCGCCGCCAGAGAAGAATCGGAGGAGGGAAGAAAAAAGCCAGCAGCGAAACCCTAGGGCCAGAAGGGGTTTATATAGGCGGATTAATGGCTGGGCGACAGCCTGTCGCTAGCGGCCCACTTGGACGCCAATGTCGAGGCCGAACGCAGAGTTGAGAGGGGGGTTCGAACGCAGAGGTCGAACGAACGCAGAGGTCGGATCCGAACGCTGAGGTCAAGGGGGTTTTCGCTCACATCCGTTGATTTGTCGAACCATCATGCTGAACCATGCTAAGCCGTCGACTTCGCCACGCTCGCCTGCATCATCTCAGAGCTCGTCGGAGCTCCTCGCCGGACATGGAGGTTGGTATCCACCCCCAAACTAATAATCTCCCACTTGGAAACCAAACCGATGTCAACGGGCTATCTCATCAAGCTCCTCTCCTGTGTGGCTCCGCCCTCATCATCTATGCATGAAGGCCAACTGAAGTTACGCACAACTCCAGTTTCTGAACTGTCACCGTCTTTGTTAACATGTCTGCTGGATTCTTACTTCCTGGAATCTTTTCCAGTTTCAACACGTCATCTTCCAACAGGGATCTAATGAAGTGGTACCGAAGCGCAATATGCTTCGTTCTAGAATGAAATGCTTTGAATACCAGCTCTGTCAACAAACCCTGAAGCCATATCATCTCTTTACTGGCTTCAGTCACTGCAACGTACTCAGCTTCTGTAGTGGATAGGGTAACGATCTTCTGTACCTGTGACATCCAACTAACGGCTGTAGTTCCAACGGTGAATACATAGTCGGTGGTGCTTCTTCGGTGATCAACTTCGCTACCGAAGTCTGCATCTACGTACCCTTGCACTTCCACCTCTCCCTTACCAAAGTGCAAACACTTCTGTGTGGTGCCTCGTAGATATCTCAGAATCCACTTGACCGCTTCCCAATGAGCTTTTCCTGGATTCGACATAAACCGGCTGACCACTCCCACTGCATGGCCAATGTCTGGTCTCGTACAGACCATAGCGTACATCAAGCTTCCGATAGCTGAGGCGTAAGGAACCTGAGCCATACTCTCTTTCTCTTCTTCTGACTGAGGAGACTGATCCTTCGATAGACGAAAATGGTTGGCCAAATGTGTGCTCACAGGCTTGGCGTCGCCCATGTTGAATCTCTGCAAAACACGGTTGATGTACTCCGTCTGAGATAACTGCAAGAGACCTCTCTTCTTATCTCTCGTGATTTGCATTCCAAGGATCTTCTTCGCTGGACCCAAGTCCTTCATGTCAAACTCCTTTGACAGCTGCTGCTTCAAACTCTTGATATCTTTCATATCTGCTCCTGCAACCAACATATCATCAACATACAGCAGTAGGATGATATAGCTGGACTGATATCTTTTGAAGTAGCAACAGTGGTCGGCGTTGCACTTCTGGAAACCTTCCTTGTGCATGAAGCCGTCAAACTTCTTGTACCACTGTCTTGGGGCTTGTTTCAGGCCATACAAGCTCTTCTTGAGTCTGCACACCAGGTTCTTCTTCTTTTCTTCTGAGAAACCTTCTGGCTGGTGCATGTATATCTCCTCTTTTAGATCTCCGTGAAGAAACGCCGTCTTCACGTCTAACTGCTCGAGATGAAGATCTTCAATTGCTACAATACTCATCACGGTCTTGATAGTATTTAGCTTCACCACGGGAGCGAAAATATCGGTGTAGTCAATTCCTTCCTTCTACTGGAAACCTTTGACAACTAGCCGGGCCTTATATCTTCTGGAACCATCTTGCTCATCTTTCACCCGGTACACCCATTTGTTGTGGAGTGCCTTCTTACCCGTGGGCAACTCAGCTAGTTCCCATGTCTGGTTTGATATGAGAGACTTCATCTCATCTTTCATTGCAAGCTCCCACGTGCTCGCATCTCCACACTGACAAGCTTCATCAAAGCTTTCAGGCTCCCCACCATCTGTCAACAACAGATAGTTCATGTATCTCCTGTTGGGTACAGGAGGACGAGAAGATCTTCTTAATATCGGAGCTGGTGCGTCGGGCTCCTGCGCACCATCTTGTCCAACAGGCTCTTCTTGCTGAGGACCCTCTGCATTGGGTTCTTCCGAGAGGTTACTCGGGACATCATCTGCATCTACAAATATTGACTCGCTCTCTGAGTCATCAGTCTTGTGCATGTCCTTGTACATCACCTTCTCGTTGAATATCACATCTCTGCTCCGGATCACCTTCTTGTTTTCGTTGTCCCAAATGCGGTAGCCGAACTCATCTTCACCATAGCCGATGAAAGTGCATTTCTTTGACTTGGGATCAAGCTTATTCCTGCCTTGATCACTAATATGCACGTAAGCTACACAACCGAAAACTTTAAGATGTGAGAGTTTTACCTCCTTTCCACACCATACCTCCTCTGGTATTCCTACACAACCGAAAACTTTTAGATATGAGAGTTTTACCTCCTTTCCGCACCATACCTCCTCTGGTATTCTGTGCTCCAATGGAACCGATGGACCTCGGTTGATCAAGTAAGCTGCTGTGTTGACCGCTTCTGCCCAGAACTGCTTCGGTAGGCCTGATTGTACTCGAATGCTTCTGGCTCTCTCTGTCAACGTTCGGTTCATCCGCTCAGCTACACCATTTTGCTGAGGCGTGCCGGGCACGGTTCTCTCCATTCTGATCCCGTGCTCATAGCAGAACTTCTTGAATCCGGTGTCTTCATATTCACCGCCATTGTCGGTCCTGAGCTTCTTTATTCTCAGACCGGTCTCATTCTCGACCATAGCTTTCCATCTCCTGAAAGCCTCAAATACTTCTGACTTATGCTTCAGAAAGTAAACCCACACTTTCCGAGTGTGATCATCGATAAAAGTCACGAAGTAGTGTTTTCCACCAATGGACGCGGTGGTTGTTGGTCCCCACACATCTGAGTGAACGAGCTCTAGCTTCTACTTCCTGGGGGTTCTGCCACTTGTCTGAAAGCTGACTCTCTTCTGCTTTCCAAGTATACATTCTTCACACATATCCATCTCCACTGACTGCAGTCCTGGGAGTTTTCCCTTTGTGTGCATGATTTTCATCCCCTTCTCACTCATATGACCGAGTCTCTGGTGCCACAGCTTTGAAGTCTCATTGCCTGCTGCAACTGAGATCAAACAACGTGCACCTGCTGTCATATACAGGGTACCAGTCTTCTTGCCTCGGGCAATCGTCATTGCGCCCTTTGAGATCTTCCAATCATCTCCATGGAAGGTTGTGGTGTATCCTTCGCCAGCCAACTGGCCTACGGATATTAAATTCTTTCTCAGGTCGGGAATATGCCTGACATCCTTCAGCTCCCATACTGACCCGTTCAACTTAATTTTCACCACGCCTTTGCCCACAATAGCACATGGTTGATCATCACCAAGATATACGTATCCAAGATTTCCGGGGGTATACTTCTCGAAGAATTCTTTCTGAGAGGTAGCATGGAACGACGCTCCTGAATCTAACACCCAAGATTCCTCCTTGCTCTCCAAAGAGCATATCAATGCGTCGTCTCCTCCTGAAGTGGAGGTGACATTCACCTCTGCCTTCGCCTCCTTCTCCTTCTGTGCACTCTTGCACTGATTCTTGTAATGCCCGGTCTTTCCACAATTCCAACACTCGATAGCCTTCGAGCTGTTGCTTGGATTCCTTGATTTGGACCTCCTGTCCTTTGATCTACCTCTGAAGTTTGATTTTCCTCGTCCGTTTCCTCTGGTTGAATTTCTACCTCTTGACTCTGTATGCAATACTGAAGAGGTTGTAGCTTCACCAGTCTCTCGCCGTCGGATCTCCTCACTGAGAACCAAATCACGAACGTCGCCGAACTTCAACTTTTTCTTTCCCGATGAGCTACTCACTGCCGTGACTGTAGCGTTCCAACTCTCTGGTAGGGAAGACAACAATATCAACGCCCGAACTTCTTCATCAAACTCAATCTCAACTGAACTCAATTGGGTTGTAACCGTATTAAGTTCATTGAGGTGTTGTGCTACTGACGCGCCTTCCGCCATTTTCAGATTGAATAACCGCCGCATTAAATGAACTTTATTTGCGGCTGATGGCTTCTCATACATATTTGAGAGAGCTGGCATAAGACCTGCCGTGGTCTTCTCCTTCGCTATGTTGAACGCAACATTGCGAGTCAACGTCAATCTGATAACTCCGAGGGCTTGTCTATCTAGAAGGTTCCACTCTTCTTCCTTCATAGAATCTGGCTTCTTCCCCGATAGTGGTTGATACAGATTTTTCTGATACAGATAATCCTCTATCTGCATTTTCCAGAATCCGAAATCTGTTCCATCAAATTTTCTCAAGTCTTATTTTCCCTTCATCTGCGGCCATGGCTCCCACTTGAATCTGACTTCCTCTAGATCGTTTCACGCTCTGATACCAGTTATTGGGAATTTAACGCCGAATTCCCTAATGCAACAGAAACGCAGTATAGAAAAAGTACACCAAGATTTAACGAGGTTCGGCAACTGCCTACGTCCTCGGGAGCCACACAGATAATTTCTTATTAATCAAACAAGAAATTACAATTTAGGAGCAGATCTCAAAATTGAGATTTCTCAAATAAACACTGTAGCTACAGTGTTAATAATTAAAGGGTATGAACCCTTTCAATTCTCACTTGAGAATAAATGAATAACCCACAATAAAAAACCCTTCTTTAATTTTCTCTCTCTCTCTTCTTAAATCCCCTATCTCTCTCTCTCTCTTCTTAAATCCCTTCTTTTAATCTCCCCTCAAAATCCCGAAGTTCTGAGCGCTGGAGAAAAATGGAACGAAGACCGAAAGGGGAAAATCGCCGCCAGAGAAGAATCGGAGGAGGGAAGAAAAAAGCCAGCAGCGAAACCCTAGGACCAGAAGGGGTTTATAGGCGGATTACGCCAATGTCGAGGCCGAACGCAGAGTTGAGAGGGGGGTTCGAACGCAGAGGTCGAACGAACGCAGAGGTCGGATCCGAACGCTGAGGTCAGATCCAAAACGCCGAGGTCAAGGGGGTTTTCGCTCGCGGGGCTCAAGCTCGCCTGGGGGGGTCGCCGTCGACTTCGCCACGCTCGCCTGCATCATCTCAGAGCTCGTCGGAGCTCCTCGCCGGACATGGAGGTTGGTATCCACCCCCAAACTAACATAGACAAGCTCCACTTCATCATCTTTTACTCTCTAAACTACCTTTAAAAAGCTTATTTTCAATTGCCATGCTCGCGACTTTCTCATTGTTTTAGCATCCCACTTTCTCTCTCTGGAGCATGCATACTTCCTAGGTTATTATGTAGAGAGACTTTCACGATAGCCTTGATCCCAATATGACATGATATATATCTGCTTCACTGTCTGCATACATAACAATTTACTAATGCTAATGGTGGGGGGGGGGGGGAACCCAGCAAGAGCACACGCACATGCTAGCCTCACCCCAGGGACGGCCTATTAGTTGCAAGCCTATAGGAAGTCCTTCCTTGTCATGACCAATCTATAAATTAAAAAGGCCAAACATCAACAAAGGAACACGAGGAATATTGCACATAATATGAACAGTTATGCAAACCACCTGCTGAGAAAGTGAATATTTGAATTATTCCCATATAAGTAGATCTTGAACATTAAGTCTATATAAATGACTACTCAAAGGCAATTTGGGAAACCCCACATGGAAAGTGAAGACCTCAAAGTAAAGGTGGTGCATAAGTTTATTTTGATAGCTATTGGATGTAACCAAAACATAAATATCCCAAATTTTCTTCGGATCAGATCATTCATTAGAACTTCTCCTTGTTTTTTAGTTAGAAAAAAAATACCGTCAGTTAATTACAAAAGGAATTAATATTACAGAGAGTATAAACTTTGTTCTTACAATTTCCTTTGGCAGATTCCACTTGATCTAGCCACAGAACACTTTTGAAGTTCATTTTCTAGCTTCTTAAGAACTCAAGTAATCTCTATTTTCCTAAATAATTAAAACCTACAAATTCAAATCTTGCGATCATTGACCTGGATACATGTTAGAAGTTGTACAGAAAATAGACAAGGTTAAGAGTTGAGAAAGCTTAATGCTTCCTTAAAGTAACATGATTGTGCTATTTTCTCACAAGATACAAGAAACCCCTTCATGTGTTCAACTTAACTATGAACTTGCAGAAAATGATGAACCTTTTTAAAATGTATCGTAGGCATATTTGCTTCATTCGTCAAACTATTTGTGCTTGATTTCGACATATATCGTAAATTTCACGGGGCGATTTCCCTTGACATGTTTGGGAAACCCTCTCCTTAATTTAATAATAAAAATAGAACAAATCGGAAGCTGAATATTTGGGGAACAAGAAATTATGCAATCAATTGTTAACTTACAGGAACAGTAACAGCTGGAAGCCCAAGAAGGTTTCCTGCCAGTATAAACCGCATAAGGTAACCTGCATCGGGGAATCAACAAAGTGCACAACTAAATGAATAACAATATAGAGAGAGTCTGATTCTGCTTTGTAAATACAACTAAAAAAAGAAAAGGATTGCAACCACCAAGAGCATGAAATTATATGTATGATCTCATCTAACAAAAAGATACAGGGAATGACTTGGATATCTTCAAGTGCTGTAGGCATATTAGAGAGAGATTTAACGTAAAGTTTAGTCTATAAGTTATATTCAATTTCTTTCATTTACTCTTGCAAAATGGACTGAAATTTGACGGGGCCTGGTTGAATTAGGTGATACTAGTCGGGATGGAGTATATCTTTGCGTCTTTTCCCTTTATTCTGAACTTCTCCTTTTCCTCTTTTCTTTCCCTTTACTAAACATTCTTATTCAGATCTAATAACAAGCCTATTTCCTATAATACGTAGGTCATGTTCCCCAACCAAAAATAGGCAGGTTCATAGCTCCAGGACATGACACCTGTATCCACGAAATTCCTGGAACTTACAAACGTGTACTTTGTTACTCTCCTAGGAATGCGTACGAGATGAAAGATAAATCTATAGATCACTTCCTCCAAATTTAATTGTATTAAATATATACATATTCATAAGAAATCTACAAATGTAGTTGTGCCTCATTTGACGATGTCTTTATTTTGGTGCTTTCCTGTCCAACGCCCATGTTGGTATTGAAATATAACGCTCTTGTCCATATACTTAATTCATTCAACAAACATCCTTTGTTTCACCGTCTACTGTCCCTCACTCCTCAACACTTATGGAAACCCCACTTTGTGCCGCAGTCATTTCTAAGTCAATGCAGATTGATTGCGACAAATTGTTGGGCCATTACATAACAGCTCCCAGTAATAAGTTTTTTATTATCCAGCTCACAACTGCTGCCCACTTTTGTCAAACATTAAATTTTGTATGTAGAACTTGTGATTCCAACTCAGCTCCTCATCCTGAGCATCTGATCCTGAGGGTCCTTGTAATTTCAACCATTCTGTTTCATTCTCAATGGCAAAGAAAATATCGACAAGACATGTGGAGGAGTTACAATACTGAGATGAATGAGTGGCATTATGCTAACAGATAAAATTGAAAAAAAGAATGTATTTGTGAAAATTGGGTAGACTCGATTGAGGACAGAATGAGAAGAACAGGCCGTGATGGCTTGGGCAATGTGCAATAAAGATCAATGTGTGTGCCACTTAGCAAGAGCGATAAGATCATAGCTAATGGACCAATGAGGACAATAGGCAAGCTTCAAAGAACACGAATGGAGGCAGTTGAAAAGAGTATGATAGTTGTCAGAAACTTAGAAACATGGATCATAAAGCTAAATGGGAGAAAAGGAATCACTAAAGGCCTCCCCCAAAATTATGGGGGAATGCTTTGTAGTTATTATTGTCATGCAGGTGGAGTCAGCTTCTTGGTTTATTTTTAGCTTAGAGATAATATTTAACAGCTCACGTGGTAGCTTATTGAAAAACAAATGAGATCTTAAAATTTGCATGCCAGAAAATAAACCAAGGATGAAACTTAATATACAAGACAAGAGCATGTCAGAAAACAAAGGATGAAATTTAAACAAAATGAGTGCATGATTTAACCTTAAGCTGAAGTCTGCGCTCATGAAATATTTTTGCTGTCTTGTGAAAATCTCCAACTTCTCTATTTTCCATTATTCAGATCTTAACAAACCTATTGCTCTTAATCATTATTACTCTAGCCAGCCTCTTACTTCAACCCAGAGAGAGAGAGAAGTTAACCAGCCTCTGTTTCAACATCTTTTATAGTTTTGCAATTCTAGACTGCTTAAGCACTTGTTCACTACAGGAAGATACACTAAGGAACATCCCTAGAACAATTTGTATGTAAAGTTTCACGAATGGAGTTTTGCTAAACCACTCCCGTATATGAACAGTAATCACGAATATGGTACTTGCTGAAGTGGGCTCCCACCTATTTCTGTTAGCAAGAGTTCAATCATTGTGTTTTCAGGTATAATATGTCAATCATACACCTAACTTGTGAAGATTCCAGACATAGAGAAGCAGAATCTGGAAAACTCCCGCACCAAAAAACTCCCTCATGCAACAATTAGATGGATGATCACAAGCTGACCACACATCTCGAGTGAGATTATATTCTCAAGAATTTCAACAGCGAGCATACTATCTTTATGAGACTAAGGCTTGCCTCAATTAGTTGATATGGAAAACAGGTATCTTCATGTAAGGTATTTGAACAAGCATATGGAACTCTAAGATGAGGTTAACCATCTGCATCAGTTTTATCTCTATAAGTAGTCAAGATAACTTCGTAAACTGACAAAGTGACATGGTTGTCATTGCCATTATGCTGCCACTGCACACAGTCAAGAGACTCAAGCCAACTTCATATTTCAAGTCATATGGTTACTTCTATACTCCACTAAGAAATCCAAGTCATACATACATACTTGGACCAGCACGTGCAACCTCCAGTCATACACATATTGACAATTCAACATAAATTCTACCTCTACACATGTCCAGACAGCTCTATAATTCGATGAAGCTACATGGTTGGCATAGCCAACGTGTTGCATAAGAACTGTTGAGTTATTTAGATAGTAATTAGTCAATGATGTGAGGACCTATTTGTAAGAGTGCCCTTATATAAAAGGGGTATCTCTCTATGAGTAAAACTAACCCTAATATTTTCCCCCAAAATCTACATGGTATCAGAGCCTGGGAGACCTTAGCCGCCAGCTCCCACCAGACCCCCCTCTCCGTTCCCCTCCATTCCCGAGAGAGAGAGAAGTTAACCAGCCTCTGTTTCAACATCTTTTATAGTTTTGCAATTCTAGACTGCTTAAGCACTTGTTCACTACAGGAAGATACACTAAGGAACATCCCTAGAACAATTTGTATGTAAAGTTTCACGAATGGAGTTTTGCTAAACCACTCCCGTATATGAACAGTAATCACGAATATGGTACTTGCTGAAGTGGGCTCCCACCTATTTCTGTTAGCAAGAGTTCAATCATTGTGTTTTCAGGTATAATATGTCAATCATACACCTAACTTGTGAAGATTCCAGACATAGAGAAGCAGAATCTGGAAAACTCCCGCACCAAAAAACTCCCTCATGCAACAATTAGATGGATGATCACAAGCTGACCACACATCTCGAGTGAGATTATATTCTCAAGAATTTCAACAGCGAGCATACTATCTTTATGAGACTAAGGCTTGCCTCAATTAGTTGATATGGAAAACAGGTATCTTCATGTAAGGTATTTGAACAAGCATATGGAACTCTAAGATGAGGTTAACCATCTGCATCAGTTTTATCTCTATAAGTAGTCAAGATAACTTCGTAAACTGACAAAGTGACATGGTTGTCATTGCCATTATGCTGCCACTGCACACAGTCAAGAGACTCAAGCCAACTTCATATTTCAAGTCATATGGTTACTTCTATACTCCACTAAGAAATCCAAGTCATACATACATACTTGGACCAGCACGTGCAACCTCCAGTCATACACATATTGACAATTCAACATAAATTCTACCTCTACACATGTCCAGACAGCTCTATAATTCGATGAAGCTACATGGTTGGCATAGCCAACGTGTTGCATAAGAACTGTTGAGTTATTTAGATAGTAATTAGTCAATGATGTGAGGACCTATTTGTAAGAGTGCCCTTATATAAAAGGGGTATCTCTCTATGAGTAAAACTAACCCTAATATTTTCCCCCAAAATCTACATGGTATCAGAGCCTGGGAGACCTTAGCCGCCAGCTCCCACCAGACCCCCCTCTCCGTTCCCCTCCATTCCCGAGCGCGTCAAGGCCCAACCTCTCAGCTCTCTCGACCGCGCCCTGGGGGATCAGGGCCTGGGGGGACGTGCACAACAGGTCACGTCAAGGCACCCCCCCAACCTTTCCCTTCATGAAGGCGACGAGCCTCTTGAGAGAGATCGGTAACTTTGATTCGTAAACTAAAACCCTAGCCACCTCGAGGCCGAGGAAGCAGCAACAGCAGCAGAAGCTCTCATGGGTATCGATCTCGTCGCCGGCGGCCGGAGCAAGAAGACCAAGCGCACGGCGCCCAAATCCGACGATGTCTACCTCAAGCTCCTCGTCAAGCTTTACAAGTTCTTGGTTCGGAGGACCGGCAACAGCTTCAACTCGGTGATGAGATCCTCGGCAATATCTAGGGTTTGGCGTTCTCTGGATTGCTGAAAGAGGGGGGAAGAGATACAAGGAGGATTTATTTTCTTTTTAAAGATAGATTAGAAGGGAGACAGGAGAGTTTGAAGCTTAGCTTTGGAGGGGGTGTTTTTTCCCTTTCTAAATTGTTTTTTTTTTTTGTTTCTTTTGTTGCTGATAGAGAGGGGAAGAGAAAGGGGATCAGGGATTAAAAGATAGGGTTTGTGATTAAGTAGTTTGATTAAAAGATCTATTTGTTTCTTAATTTGTAATAGATTATTTAGGTTTCCTCGACAAGTCAGTCCTAGAACTGATGAGAGAAGAGCTGATATCTCACTTTGTTGAGATATCTTGCTTCTGGTTCTTGTTTCCTTGGTGAAACAGGAATTCTTGTTGATCTATCTATCTTGTTGTACTGTCGAAGTGCTGCCGGATTTTTTTTGTTGCGCACCACAAGAATACAAGTTGGATCGATGACAAAGACTGAAAAAAATCCGATGGAGGAGATCATCAAAAAGTTGAACAACCTGAGGGTATTCCAGATCGAGAAGGAGATCAGCGGTATAGTCCAGAGAGAGAGGACTGTACAGGAGTACGCCACAGAGCTGGAACGCTTGTGGCTCGATCATGATTACTTCTCGCCCCTAGCGAGCTGCAAGGACCCTGAGTGCAAGGAGTGCGAGGCCTCTTTGCAGAAGAGGACCATGTCGTTTCTCCGAGGTTTGGCTCCAGCGTATGAGCAGAGGACGGCATTGCTACTAACCCAGACGAAGATCCCACCACTGGAGAAGGCAGTCTCGGCCATGATACAGGAGGAGAGTCGTATCAGGCTACAGTCTGGGATAGGTGGACTTACAGGGGAGAAGTCTGTACTAGTGGTATCCAACCCGGATAACACTGGATTCAGAAGGAAGACTAGGCAGTGTTTCAACTGCGGAGAGGTAGGGCATCTGAGACAGATGTGCCCTAAGCCACCCAAGGAAAGGAACTGGGGTGAACGTGGTCAGACTGGTGGTCGTGCAGGTCGAGGAGGCAGGGGACGTGTAAGCCAAGGAGTTGCTCACCTAGCTGTGGCAGATGAATCTCAGACAACTGCTGGGATGACTGGAGTTCAAGCTTCAGGTTGAGAGTTCGAAGGGCAAGGGACAAGTCACCCAGGATCTGGCTACCACTACATGCTTTGGTAACTTTATTGGTTATGCTCATGCGAACAAAGGTACACAGGTTCAGGCACTTGCATCCACTAAAACTCATGTTGATTGGATCATAGACTCAGGTGCATCTAGGCATGTCACAGGAGCATCTAGTGAGTTTGCATTATATTATCCGAGTAAACATATGCATCCTGAGACAGTTCAGACTGCTGATGGGACATCCCAACCTATCAGGGGTAATGGCTCGGTCCATTGCACTTCATCTGTTACCTTGTCATCTGTATTGCATGTTCCTTCGTTTCCAGTTAACTTACTCTCAGTTAGCTCTCTCATTGATCAATTAAATTGCACCGTGTTATTTGATCGAGATTTGTGTGTCTTTCAAGAGAAGGAAACGGGGAGGAGGATTGGGACTGGTATCAGACGTGATGGTCTTTGGTATTTGGACAGGGAGACAGCAATGATTGCTGCTACTGTTAGCGGAGGGCCAGAGGCAGAAGCGATGCTTCAACATTGCCGGTTAGGGCATTTATCTTTTGAGAGTTTAAATAGATTAGAACCTGAGTTAATGAAGAAAGTGGATAGAAAAGAGTTATTTTGTAATGCATGTGAACTTGGAAAACATACTCGTTCTACTTATAGAATGATTGGTCTTCGAAGTTGTGAACCATTTGCACTTGTCCATTCTGATGTTTGGGGACCATGTCCTACTACCTCTATCAGTGGTTTTAGATGGTTTGTTACTTTCATTGATTGTTATTCACGTATGACCTGGATATACATGATGAAGCAGAAATCAGAGGTTTACAAATGTTTTCAAGATTTCTCGGCTTATGTGAAGACACAGTTTGGAGTGCAGGTGAAGATTCTTCGAACAGATAATGGGACTGAGTATGTCAATAAGGAGTTTGCAGCTTTCATCTCTAATCAGAGAATTGTTCATCAAACCACCTGCCCAGACACCCCTGCTCAGAATGGGGTGGCTGAGCGTAAGAACAGGCATCTACTGGAAGTGGCACGCTCATTGATGTTGACAATGAATGTGCCTAAGTTTTTATGGAGTGAGGCTGTTATGACAGCAGCTTATTTGATCAACAGGATGCCATCAAGAGTATTAGGGATGAAGACACCATGTGAGATGCTTTTGGGCTCAAATGTTTTTGTTGTTCCACCAAGAGTGTTTGGATGCACATGTTATGTGAGAGATCACAGGTTGATGGTGAGTAAACTGGATCCGCAAGCAGTTAAATGTATCTTTGTTGGCTACTCATCAAGTCAAAAAGGATACAAGTGCTGGTGTCCCACTGAAAGAAGGCTGTTTGTCAGTATGGATATGACTTTTCGGGAGTTTGAACCTTTTTATGGGGAGAAGACAGATTTGAGTTCCTTGTTTAGAGATGGCTCTACTGATGCTAGTAGAGAGGGGGAGAATGAGAATGAGAATGATATTATGGTCGGGATGATTCCATGTCCTCTTGAGTCACCGAGTAGTGATGGTACATCGCCGAGTAGTGATGGTGACTTAGGAGTTGGTAGTCAAAGTCAGGGGGAGCTGAGAGTATACACGAGGAGACAGAAACAGCAGCATGAGCCGCCTCCCGTGCCTGTGTCAGTACCCACAAATGTTGATGACCCAAGTCCCTCCTCTCCAGTGCCTTGCTCTTCTCCTCCACCTGAGTCGATAGGTAACGATTCCTTCCCTGATATCTCTGATACTCCTATCTTGCCCCGCAGAACCTCTAGAGTCAATGCTGGAAAACCTCCAGCTAAGTTTGGCAATTGGGATACTGATATTGCGAATTACATTTCATATGCATCCATTCCACCTGCATATAAGTCATTCATTGCATCGTTGCATTCAGTGCCTGTACCTAACAACTGGCAGGTAGCTAAGCAAGATCCTAGGTGGTTGAATGCCATGCACGAGGAACTCCAGGCCTTGAAGAAGAATGACACATGGGAGTTGGTACCTTTGCCAGCTGGGAAGCGTGCTGTTGGATGTAAGTGGGTGTATACGGTTAAGCAAACTCCAGAGGGCAAGATCGACAGATACAAAGCCAGATTGGTTGCTAAAGGCTACAGTCAAACGTATGGCATTGACTATGACGAGACATTTGCTCCAGTAGCAAAGATGAGTACTGTTAGAGTGTTGGTGTCATGTGCTGCCAACTTCAATTGGCCACTACATCAGCTAGATGTCAAGAATGCCTTTTTACATGGAGATCTCCAGGAGGAGGTGTATATGGAGATTCCACCAGGCTTCGTTACTTCTCAAGTAGCTGGGAAGGTGTGCAAGTTGAAGAAGTCTTTGTATGGGTTAAAACAGTCTCCGAGGACATGGTTTGATAGATTCAGGTTGGCAGTTTGTGGTATGGGGTACAAGCAGTGCAATGGTGATCATACTGTATTTTACTGGCACTCCAAAACTCGTATCACTATCCTGGCGGTCTATGTTGATGATATTGTAATCACTGGAGATGACGCTGAGGAAATCCTACTGTTGAAGAAGAAATTGGGAGAGGAATTTGAAGTTAAAGATCTGGGGCAGTTGAAGTACTTTCTCGGAATTGAAATTGCAAGGTCGCGAAAGGGTATAGTGCTTTCTCAGCGGAAGTATGCTCTGGATCTTCTCTCAGAGACAGGGATGTTGGGGTGCAGAGTTGCATCTACTCCTATTGAGCAGAATCATAAGATGAGTGCCGAGGGTGGGGACCCTGTGAGTAAAGAGCAATATCAAAGATTGGTTGGACGACTTATATATCTATGCCATACGAGACCTGATATTACTCATGCAGTGAGTGTGGTGAGTAGATATATGCATGATCCCAGAGAGCAGCATATGGAGGCAGTTCGCAGAATTCTTAGATATATTAAAGGAAGCCCAGGAAAGGGGTTATGGTTTAGGAGTTTTGGACATCTGAGAATTAAAGGCTATTGTGATGCTGATTGGGCGGGTTGTATGGATGATCGTAGGTCCACTACAGGCTATTGTGTATTTGTTGGAGGCAATCTCGTATCTTGGCGTAGCAAGAAGCAAGATGTGGTGGCTAGGTCTACAGCTGAGGTGGAGTACAGGGCTATGGCAATTGGTCTGTGCGAGTTGATGTGGGTCAAAAACATATTATCTGAGCTGCGCTTGTTTAGAAGAGACTCCTTACAACTTTGGTGTGACAACAAATCGGCGATTAATATTGCAAACAATCCAGTTCAGCATGATCGCACCAAACATGTGGAGATCGATCGGTTCTTTATCAAGGAGCAACTGAATAGAGGAGTTCTGACCTTGAGCTATGTGAAATCAGAAGAGCAGTTAGCTGATTGTTTAACAAAAGGATTAGGTTCTAGAGAGTGTGATATCTTTTGTAACAAGATGGGGATGATTGATATCTATCGCCCATCTTGAGGGGGAGTGTTGAGTTATTTAGATAGTAATTAGTCAATGATGTGAGGACCTATTTGTAAGAGTGCCCTTATATAAAAGGGGTATCTCTCTATGAGTAAAACTAACCCTAATATTTTCCCCCAAAATCTACAAGAACATAGTCAAGAGGCTCAAACCAACTTTATCGCTCAAATCCTATCACTGACTCTGTGGTCCACTACTAACTCACTGTAAGTCGCTCACTCTTAAATTTCATAGAGGAAGACCAAAGTTATGTAGAGATTTGCCTCAATGACGACGCGGTCTGGGTTTAATTAGTCAGATATGCAGCTGATATATAGTTGCTTTTTTTAATCTAATCTTTCATGCTCCACTGTGTGTAGCTTGAGAAAAGATTATAAAATTCTTAAATGTCAGTAGCACTCAATTTCATTCACACTGTGTGGAATTCGATTACACTTTCCCACTTGAAAGAGGAATGGGGAAGAAAAATATAATGATAATGATAATTATCTCTATAGGCTAAAAGAGTCATATAATAACTATATTACAATCCAACAAAACGGAAGCCATCTTTGTTGTCTGAAAGATTCCAGTAGTAAGAATATGGAAACCAAAGAACGGCGATCTAATCCAACTTACCTGTCACCTCGTAATTTGTTTCCCCGTGCTCAAGAGAACTTAATGGTATTTTAGGTGCAGTCATCCTGTAATGGATGAAATCTGTTACTCTAAAGTTGTACAAAAAAAGAAGCTATATAGAGCATCAGAGAAGCATTAGTGTGAGCATGCTGTGTACAGTCTTCATATTTGCGAATTTAAAACCCCACCCCACCCCCAACTCCAACCACAACAACAAACCAACAAAACTATATATTTGCTAATTTCCTCCTAATCTTCCATATTGCTTTCTTCTACCCCTCAATTTTCAAATTTCAATATTACTAATATAACCTGGATCAAGTTAATTAGTTTTATTAATTTGTATGAGAGAGAGAGAGAGAAGAGCAGATGGGGAGGGTAAATTAGTATCTCCTCTCTATATATTATCTAAATACAAACTAAAAAATTATAACTTAATCAGGGGTATTGGTGATATTTGGAAACTGAGGGCTAAAAAATTTCAATGTGGGAAATTTGGAGAGCAAATTAGCAAAATCTAGATTTAGGGGGTAAATTTGCAAATACGATAGATGATGAGGGTATGTAAAAACCCTTTAAATTAGACCATGTGGTATGTAATTTAGTACACGTTTGCATAAGTGTATGCATATATGCAAGGAGCATCCAATGATGTATTGATGGCCCATATCCATACAACTTCACAATATAAGCACGTATAGGTTGAGAAGTCACTAACTGGCATAGGGGGACACCTAGTCAAACTTATGAAGTACTAGAGAAATCTGTTCTTATACATGTATAACAGTAAAAAAAAATTTAAATCCAGTGATTGATTTTAAGGTATTCAGCTTTACAGATGTCGGCAGAAGGATTTCTTATGGTGATGAATGCATATTTATAAATTCATTAACTTAGACGTACATACAGAAATAGTTGTGTACATATGCATGCAAAGTCAAACAGAAAATGCCTACTATATAGATTGCAGCTAAAGGAATTGCTTTTATTTGACTCAAAGATAACCAAATCAACAAAGAGACGGAAAAAAAGACCTACCCTGTTGTAGGAGTTACGATGATGTCAACCTTTTTGAAAATTTCCATATGATAGTACATTAACCTTCTCCTGCATCACACGCTTGCTGATGTAAATAAAGCATTGCATTGAAGAACACATTTAAGTAAGTGGAACAGAATCACAAATTTTGATTTACTATACTGAGAATAAAAGTTATAACATTTTTATGAATCTCAAAATGGAGCATGTTAAGTAGAGATCATCATCATGAAACAGATACTTGCAAGAGACATCGTCTGATGGCATAGCCTCTAAGTTCTAATACAGGCAGTACTAGACCATATAAGCGGTGAAAAGAAAAAAAGAAACCCCAGATATCTTGTAAAGTGACATCAAAAGTACCATTTTGATTTTAGATCTGGTCAAATTTATCATGGAGAGTGACCAAACAAGGAGAACTTGTCCTGACCAACTTGCTCATTTAGATCTACCCAGCTTTTCAGAAAATGTTTCAAATACATGTAAAATGTTCCAGACTGACACAATTGTACCACCACTCATCAACTTAAGGTTTTAGATGAAATGATATGCAGGATGGAGCCATTCTATCACGTTTAATGACTAAAGTTCTTAGGTTCAAATATCAAAACCAATGTGTTCTCTTTGGACAAATTTTGAAAAACGACCGTATTTCGAATTTAATGAGCAAAAACGACCGCTTAACAGAAAAATTAGCAAAATCGACTTTTTTTGCACGGGAGTACTAGTCCCGTGCAAAAAAAGGACCGCTTTTCACCCGACGCTCATCTTTCCCCTTCCGCTCATTCCCTCTGGTCGTGACCAAAAAACCAGACCCCCACCCTCCTTCCCCACCTACCTCACCTCGTCTCGTGGCCTCGAGCTCGCTTGATGGGCTCCTGATTTGCTGCAAGAAGTTACAGATTTGGAGGAGGTGAGGACAAACTCGACGTCAGAGGGGGTGAGGGGAAGGGTCTGGAGGAGGGGGCCGGAGTAGGAGAGCTTGAGGATGAGCTTGACGTTGGAGTAGGTGAGGGGGAGGATCTGTAGGAGGGGGCTTGGGCTTGTTGAGGGGGGAGGAGGGGTTGAATGTGAAGGGGAGGAGATGGGTTTTGATGGGTTTTGTTGGGATCGGAGAAGGGAAGGGAGAGAGGAAGGAGGAGGAGACCATGGTATTTTGAGGATGGAAGAGGTCAGGGGTTTTGATGGGCGTCGGGTGAAAATTCTGAGGATTGAGGAGGCTAGGGGAGAAGATGGGCGTCGGGTGAAAAGCGACCCTTTTTTTGCACGGGACTAGTAGTCCCGTGCAAAAAAGTCGATTTTGCTATTTTTTTTGTTACGCGGTCGTTTTAGCTCATTAAATTCGAAATACGGTCGTTTTTCAAAATTTGTCCGTTCTCTTTCTCAGAGGGTGGCTATTGGATGTTGGCAAATAAAATATTTTTTGGGGCGCTAATCATCTTAAGGTTTTGGGCAAAGTGGTTGCAAACAATGCTAAATGATATAAAAGTCTTCAAGGAAATAGAAGATCTATGCAGTAATGACCAATTGCCCGAAATTCACCTGCACACCCCCGCCAAATTCCAGAACGCAATTTTAGCATTTAGAATTTTGTTATCAACTTACCTAAGTCGTTGTGCAGAAACATAATCCACCGCAGAGAACGTACGGAAAAGTTCCAAGCAAACTCGAGTATCAAGTGTTAATTTGGAACAAGTCCTACAGAAAGAAGTTGTTCAGTAATATATAACCAAAAATTGACAACAAGATTATGAAAAAAAATACAGACAAATGGACAACGTAATTAGATAAACCCATACTGGAGTTGAATAATAAGAATATTTACTCCCACAAAATATATTATCTTACCCATCCTCATAATTGGGATACAATCCATTCAATGATTCAGCACCAATAGTAACAAGGTGGGCAGTTCGCATTTCTTCCAACTCTGGCACTGTTATCTCTGTGATCTTGGACAATGAAATGCACAGAGCAGTAGATCAGTACCTCCATGAGGAGATGTATATGTGCATCTATTCTTGTAGAAAGGAAAGTAACGAGTTACATGTCTCTAGTAGGCTTACTTTGCACCCAAAGGATTCTAAAAGTAGATTGAGAGCATCCTCACACTTGGTGGAGATATCAGGACAGTAAACATCATGAAACCACTACAAGTAGATGGCAATATAAATGAAAAATGCGTTCCACATGATTAATATTTAAGTTTTTGAAGGCAATATAATTCATACCTCTGAATATTTTCCAAGTCGTGTGGATCTCAGGATGTCTAAATTAACAGATGGTGACAGATTTGGCAAACAAAGAGCTGACTGTAGTAAGACATGGATTAGTTTATTTGGTAAAGTAACAACATACAGGATCAGCATAATCATAGTGCACTGAATGGAAAGGACACCATTTCTAGAACAGTTTTAAGGCATGCTAGAACATAATATATTATCTTGCTCCTAATTAGAAAATATAACTCCCGAAAAATGAGAATTTAGCATGCTACCGATATTCTCTATGAACTGCATTTAAGAAGGAGAAGAAGAACACAATAGTGGCGTGATGAATGAAAAGAAGGGTAGAATGTTGTCACCCAAGGATATTTCAAACATGTTACCCTCACCGAGTTAACTCGTCAAAGATGAAAACCTCCATCCATATGTATGATATCTCCACCTCCTTTGCCCACTTTACTTTAAAATAGCAATATTGTCCTTCTCATTTCTCTTTCCAGATCAATGTTACCATGCAAATCAAATTCTAACTCATTCCCTTTACACCCACCTGGCAACACCCCCGTAGTCACCTCATTCCACCCTCCCTGTCGTCACACCAGACCCTGATAATTTCTACCCTGCCTCATCCCTCGAACTTCCACACTCCCGCGCTAGCTTTCCCTCTCATTTACTTTCAAAAACATCTACTTTTATATTGACTTTTTCTATTTTTATTTATTATACCTACTTTTCATACAGCAAACTACCTTTCACATGTTTCTATCTATTTTTCATACTAAAATTTTCTACTTTTATATAGTATAAACATTTTTTATACAAAATTTTCCACCTGCCATATGTTTCTATCTACCTCATAGAAATTATTCTCTGTTTATATAATTTGTACAGTTTTCATATGAAATTTCTACCTTTTGTATAAAATTTTATAGCTTTATATAATCGGTTCGCTTTTCATATGAATCTATCTACCTTTCATACGTTTCTATCTGCCTCATAAAAATTATTCTACCTTTAGATAACATATGTTCAGTTTTCATATGAATTTGCCTACCTTTCGTATAAAGCTTTACAGCTTAATATAATCTGTCTGCTTTTCATATGAATCCTTGTATAAATCTAACTGTATATACAGCTCCCTTTCTTTCACACACCTATAATCTGCCTGCTTTTTTATGTATCCGGTCTAAATTTTAATAAATTTTTTCATGAGGGGAGGGGGAGGACAAGATAAGAGGCAAGGCGATTCTATCAATTTTTTAAGAAAATAAGAAAAAAAATATTAAAAAGGCTTTTCAACACTTTAAGAAAATAAGAGAAGTACCGGGTTTAAACTGATTCTATCAACTGGCGAGCAGCCACCCATTGCAGCATACCTGAGATTAATCAGCTAGTTAGCGTATTTTACAATGAAAGTCGAAATATGTCACAATATAAGTTCAACAAAACCATTTAGTGTAATGACACTTACATCTAGGTAATTCATAACTGATAAGAAAATCAACTTTCACTCGTTTTGCAGATAGCTAGTAAATAGACATTATTCATTTCATAAAGGCATAAAAACAACATTTATTTCCAGATTAGACATCCATTGTTTATATACCTAGGGAGTTAAAACTTTTAAATCTGATTGGTAATCCTCTAGTGGCTTGACTGTGTCCAAATCCATGGACTGCAGAAAGAGAGACAGTGCTGGATGCCTATGTGAAGTAGAGAAACAACACTAGCCTTATCTCATTTAGATTACCTTTAAACAAGGTTTAGCTACATTAAAAGCGCAACAAGTCAGCCTAAAGCTAGTAACTTGCTGTCTTTGTGCCTGGAAATTCTTGAAGAGCTTGCAACCATGTCCTATAGATGATAAAAAGTTTATAAGGTAGGTAGGATGGCAGTTGGCCTGGCTAGTTCTAGAACAACGGACACAGAACTTAAGTTTACTAAAAACTAGTGATTGCTAAGTTGAATCTTTTCAGTGAAACGATATTGTATATAGACTGGCACTTTACATCCCTTGTGCACTCACGAATCAGATGTATTGCCATGGATGTGTCAGAGGGAACTATGAAGGATGGATCTATTTGTACATCTGGTCCATTTTAAAACATGCTTCCAAAATCACGAGAAAGTAAATAGTGTATAAGCTGCAAGCAGCACCTTCTCACTCTATCTTTAGTATTATCTCTCAGAAATAAAGATTATGAATCCTTGAATAGATGTCAAAGGGTAAGGAATCTTTGAACAGCCTATTGTGCCTCAATTTTTTTCATCATTTCTATGACTACATTTGAATTCCTTTTCCAGGGCTTTTGCCCATGCCTATATGCATTTTCTGCACTCTAAAATTATAGCTAGTTCAAAAACATGTGCAACACAACCACCTCATGATCCCTCAACTGAAAGTGAGAAGCTTAGATAACTTGTCCCATCAACAACCTCCCTCACCACTCCAACAAACAGACATAAGCTAACCTGAGTTCTTAATTAACCTCTCACCTATTAAAAGCTACAGGCACCCCCAATTCATAACCTTGGACATCAAATCACCATTTTCTTTGGAACTTGTAAAGCACCCTCCCTTAGAAAAGACCTTGCATGATGCCCGAAAGAATGAGAAGAAGACTTGCGTGATGAACAAAGGGTACCTGGTATGCGGGTGAAGGGAGTGTTGACAAAAGGAAGGGTTTGGATTCAGGAAGAGAAGTAAGGTGCATCTGTTTCTTGACACTGACAAACAGAAAGGGGAAAATTAAATCCCATTGGCATTTACGCAACACCATTCTGCTTGAACCTCTTGCATGGTTCTCGCTCTAGTTGTTCACTGCATAAATCTATCAGGCACTCTGTCCCATCAACAGCCTCTCCAGACAACTCTAATAAACAAACTAGCCACAAGCCTTATCTAGGAACCTCATCTCCATTCTTACTGATCAACAGCAGCGCAGATTTTACCTCATCCTGTTGGGATCGGGTATATGAACTCTCTTTCCATTTAGATCCATTAACAATATCTTTTCGATTCACTATTTGACTAGCAGTTGAAGATATCCTTTTCTTTATTTCATGAATCTGGGTCTTCTGAGGTCAAGTGTGATTGCTAGATGTTTACATTTCCAAAACATTTCAAGATGTTTTCTCTCATCTCATCAACAATCAAAATATTCTCTTAACTTCATATGAGTACACCAATTTTTTTAGGAGAAATTTTTAAAAGGACCCTTTTTAAAAAATAATTAGCAAAACGTCCTTTTTGCTAAATAATTAGCAAAATCGTCTTCTTGGCCAATTCATCAAGGCTAACCAAAAAGAGGTCAATTTTTCAAAAGTTGGTGCTGAAAATACATGACACTACTAGTCCTGTGCGATTAGCGTTTGCTAATCACCTCCTAAACACAACCTAGAAAATATCCGGTACTATATGTCTCATGTGTTAAATAGAAACTATCGCCCCTTAGCTCACAACAAATGCACGAGGCTCCTAGCAAATACATGGGACTAGTAATCCCATGGACTAGTAGTTCTGTGTCTTTGTCGGGGTATTTAAGCTCAGCTGTACCCCAAAAATTAGGGTACAGCCCTCAAATCAACCCCAATATCTCCCCTATTTGTGATCCTTCTCTCTGCACTCTCTCTCAAATCAACCCCGATCTCTCCCTCAACTCTCTCCTAATCTCTCTCTCTCCCTCAACTCTATCCCAATCTCTCACTCAACTCTATCCAAATCTCTCTTCCCCACCCCATTCATCCTCTCCAACATCACATCGTTCTCCCTCAATTTCTCTCTCTCATTCTCTCCAAACCCAAATTGATGCTCATCCCAAAAAAATTCTCGCTTGATTCACTCTGGGGATGTTGTACTCCGACGCTGACGAGCTCTGACGCCAACAAACTTCAAGTCTTCATCAATGTACAATTTTCTAATTTTGTATAATTTTTAGTTACAATTATAGTATAAAAATAACCCTATATTTTGAATACTTTTATTTTAATTTTGATAAACAATATGGTTTGGTTAAATTTAGGATTTAATTAGAAATTTGGTAGACTAAATTTGATATAGAGGATCTTTCAACTACAGTTTAACTAGAAACAAGAGATAAAATTTAATTTATAAAGTATAATAGATAATTTGCATATGATGAATGTTAACATTTTAGTTTCGATAGCGAATGGAATACCCGTTATTTGCTTCTTTAATATGAGACTGAGTGTTGGAATGAATAATATGTCTATATACAAGGGAGAATCTAGAAAAACATTCATGTTATCTAAAACATGCAACTTCGATGGAATGATGAAAGAAATATATAGAGTTACTAGAATTAACCATGAAGAGTATGCAACTAAGGTGTTCTGTAAATGTTCGATTAATAAAAAAAGAACAATTGCTATAGAGATCACCAATGATCAAGAAATGATTGACATGATACAACTCTCTGAAAAGCAAATCTTAATTGAGTTGTTCATTGAAAATTTTCTAATATCTAGTGTTGCCCAATTTTTGAATGCTTCGGATCTTGTGCTTAGACAGTTTGGTTTGGTATAACACGTTCCACAAAAAGTTGAAAGAATAGAAAGAAAGGCCAACAAAGGTGGACATCAGATAAACTAGGAAAATGCGCATCATCAGTACATTCACAGATGGGCTGATCGGCATTTGAGTATCATAAAACAGATTGATCCTCCTTATATCAGATGATATTGAGGAATTACTAGAAGATGGATAATAAATCAAACTACGACTCCAGTCGATGAACATGCACAACTTGCCCTACAACGGGGACATGTGTCAATTGGTGTAGGTTAGAGAGAACGTGCAAGTAATTTATTATTAAATCCATTTATTTGGTATTACTACAATTTGCTTATATATACACCTTTTTTACTTAATTGCAGATAGATGCTACATATGATATTGAGAGCAGTGCAAAAAAGAGCCTAGCACTTTCTGTCAGTGTTATCGAAGCGCAAGGCGCAATGCGGGGCGCAAAGGTCCCTTACGCGCACCATGCGCAAGGCGCACAAGACGCGCGCCTCACTAACTGAGGCGCATAACTCAAATTAATATTTATCAACATCATAAGACAGAAACATATAAGCAATATATTAGTTACCTACATCCAAAATTATGAGAATATCAACTTAAATCATCAATTATGCTAACCGAATTTTTAAAGTAACAAAAAAGATACAAGAAACATGTATTTAAATCATCAAATTAAGTGATTAACAATTATGAACATATGCTTATAAATTATCACATAAAAGACTAAGAAATATAATTAACAAACATGACTGTTCATAATTTTCTAGTTAGTATTCTTAATTGATATTTGCTACTTAGCATGAAAAGATAAAGAATGAGCGAGGCGCACGCGAGGCGCGAGCGAGGCGCACGCGAGGCGCGAGCGAGGCGCACGCGAGGCGCGCGCCTCGCTGCGTGCAGCGCCCCGCCTCGCGTGCGGGGCGCATTTCGCCCAGGCTGAAGCGCCCCGCGCCCGGGGCGCGCGCCTCAATAACACTGCTTTCTGTCATAGGAGCATATACAGGTGTACATGCATCTCAGTATCAGGGGATAGTATCAGGGGATAGCGCAGAGAGCTCGTAGAGCTTTTCATCGAACTCTTAAGGATCTTCATGATGATCGCGAGGAGATGTCGCAGGAGGATCTCTTATATGCACGCCGATCAAATAGACAAAGACGAGATGGATCTTGTACACACGACAATGAAGCCGGTCCGTCACAGCTACACACGCAACCAGAGAGCGAGCTCGTACAAGCTTAAGTCCATGGAGGATGATGACGATCTGAGAGGGTACGGAGAGGGTGACAGAGAGGAAGAGGCGAACTTCTAGGTTGTATGTTATAGATTAATGGATTTTCTACATGGACTGAAAATATACTTGATATATTTGGATTTGTAGCAATATCTTGGCGTATGGATATAATATGTGTTGTTGTCGACTGTTACCTATTGTGTTTTGATGTTTTGCATTGATTAAACGTGTATTAAGTCATGTTTATTTCTTGAAAATTATAAGTTATATAGGATTATACTGTTTAGATATGTATATGAAGTGAATTTAAAGTTTTTGTGCAAAGGAAATATTGTATATACGCAAGATATACGTTAGAATAAAAGCGTACATGTTTTGTACATGTTTGGAGATATTCTGCAAAACACACGGGACTGCTAGTCTCATGTGTTTTCTGAGATTGTTCAGAAAACACACGAGACTACTAGTCTCATGTGTTTTCTGGTTCTGCTTAAGAAGTGATTAGCAAACGCAAAACACACGGGACTAGTAATCCTATGTGTTTTCAACATCAAATTTTACAAAATCTTTTTGGCTAGTCTTGGTGAGCTAGCCTAAAAGAGGTCATTTTTGCTAATTATTTAGCAAAAAAAATTATTTTTGCTAATTATTTTTTTTAGAAATGGTCTTTCTATAAAAAAACTCCATTTGTTTATTATCCTCACTTATTTATTATCCAAGCTTTTTGCATACTACTGACCTTTTTCAGCATTCTTCTATGCCCTACACGCTCACATGTTGGGTATATTGTTCCTTGATTGCCCAACATATTGACCGATACGAATGATCCGTACATTCTCTGTGTATAAATGGAAATACAGTTCATTTGACTTCACAAAAACTCTGCAGTCACAGTATACCTCAGAAAACACTTCTGCACTTCACTCACCTCCTTCAATTATATGAATAACAAACCCATCAACCTCACCATAATTATCACAGTTGTCCTGTGTTTAAGCTAAATGATTTGTACCTTTAGCCGCGTCATCCTTCAACCTTCATCAAAGGTATGCAGTGTACATATTCTATGTTCATCTATGAGTTGTGAGTCCCTTGCAGATTGGATCTATGACTCAACCTCTTACTTTTTTCGGCTTGTCTAATTATGTACGAAATGCAAGATTGAATCCCGTATGTCCTCAAGCACAGGATATAACTAGAGACACTTGCTTTTCCCTCATTAAAGATAGAACCTGGATCCTGTATTAGCCTTTTATAAACCAAGGAAGACCATAATTTAAGAAAGATGCTACAGAATTAGGTCAGTAACTCATCAATTTTGAAGGATGAGATATGTCGAGTAGGAAGAAATATTAAACAAGCATATTTCCATCAGGAAAAAAAAGAAAAAAAAAACAAGTTACAGATTTACGCAGGGACCTCCTCTGAGGGTGCTTCTACAAATGAAGGATATATAAATGCTTGGTTGAGGTAAGACGGAGTGCTAGGAGCCTTGACTGATAATATTGTTGTGGAACCATGACTTAGATTTGTAAAGATATAAGCAATTCTAGAAATATGAGGGAGGAATCAAGATAAAAGGATGTATGCCCCCTAATTGCATAAAAAGGAAACAGCATATAGTGTTACTTTAGACAGTGAAATTTTGGCCTAAATGGCTGCAAAAAAAAAAAGAAGCTGAAAGCATGCAACTCATCTGAATAGACAATAGAAATGAACTAAGGAGACATGTCAACAGAAATCATACAGCATGAATGAATTCTTACACAAGCATGGTGTCCTCAACTGTGGCTGCAAGTGGAGAAACAACTTCAACCGTACCAGAACCACATATTAACCTACAAAACATTGGTTAGGGAGGGGATTACAAACTTTTGTTGTACATAGAATATTAATGGAAAATTTCCAATTTCAATGCATTGTCTTCATTCAAATCACACTCAATAAAAAATGTATGCAAACAACTAGTGGCAAATTAAAATGTATATCAAGAAGGTCAGAGTAAATTTGACCAGTCAGAGCCAAACATCAAGACAATCAGACTACCGGCTGAAAAAAGAATGTAAACTAATACTCTGAGCCAAACGAAGCCACCCTTATTTTAAGGAAAGTACAAAACAACCTTCAGCTCTGACACAAAGAACTAACGTGTATGGTCGTTAATCTCAATTATGAATGATTTCGAAAGACAGCTATGCTTGAATAATGCTATTGCCTGAGTTCTAGATGATTCTCTAAGAGGCCTTTACCAAAGCAGTTGTTACTAGAATATTACCCTTTCATGTCGATTCTCGCAAAAGTCGTTTTTAAACCCACAACACCACATAGTGAAGAGGGAATTCGAACTGAACCTGTGTTCATAAAATAAAGTCACTAGCATAGAAGAATATCAGAACCCTGGATATAAAGTTCTTTGAAGTCAAATTATATAACCTCCACCATCTGTGCCTACTGCAGCTGGACATAATCCAGAAGCTACAATTGCTGCTGGACCAGAGGAAGACCCTCCAGTGTATCTGTCGGTTGAGTGTGGATTTCTAGTTGTTCTGTGAAGAAAAACAAGCTGGAAACTTTAGTCACAAAATGATCATAGCCAGTTAACACGTAGTATATGTCAATATTAGATGCTATTGACACAATAAATTCGGTAATACAAGAAAATTTAGAAGTATAGGCGTCAAACATTTATTTTAAGAAACATTCGCATGATGCATAAATATAAGCTTTCACAAGATGAGATGAGAAGAAACACATCCACAAAGAAAAGAAAATCACTCGTTGCCTCTCACCTTTAAGATATGCGTTTGAAGCTGTATCCACTATAGGATAGTCATAAAAAGTGGAATCTAAAGTAACGCTAGAGTCATTTACTTTTCATTTCATCACCACTAATGCCTTCTGAATTCTTGTCAGCAATTTAAGGGTTGACAATGGAGAACAGATCACAATACAAATATACAAGATCAGAAAGCTCCAAAAAGAGATTGACAAACATCAACATAATCTCACTTTTCTATTTCAACAGTGAGCTCTCAGCCAGGTTAATTATTAGCAGC